TACCTATGCATGAACATACATCTCCTATATAATATTGCATTGATATACTTTGAAATACTTATTTAAAAATTATTATTGGACATTAATCTATTCGTGCAAAGCGCGTAAAAAAACTAGTATAAATAATTATCACTGTGGCAGACAATGAATATACAATACTTTGTACTCAAAACTATTAAACAATACTACTTGCCTTGTTATTCTTTCCATAAAATACTCTTTGGTAACTTTATATCACCATATGCTATTGAAAGGTACATGATAATATAATTGAATCACAATATTTTTTTTAAATGCAATTGAATCTTTAAATTAATCAATTTTGTGCAAGTGAGTTTAATTTTCTGGTAAAATCTTTTACTACCTGGTTAGCAAGCGTCATTTTGAATTTTTTAAAAATAATAAATTATATATATATTTTGTTAATTTTAAATAATTAAAAAGAAACTCTCATATCTAAAAAACATAATAAGTCTAAATCCAAGTTGTATCTTTGATTTATGTTCGTTTTTTTAGGTATGCTAATAAAGGTATACATTTTACTTTAAATGGTGTACACATCAATCTTATTGGACAAAATATGTCCCTTCTAAATTCTTGTTAGACAAAAATACCCTTACACCGCTATAACTCCATTATTATTTAATTATAACATTGATGACTCCATCATTGTTATCATATCATACACTTATATATATCATATCATATCTTAACTTTTTCCTATTATGGAGCATTTAATTATCATTTTATTAAAACCAGTATATAATTAATTTAATTGTTTATTATATTTTAATTAAATTTCTAAGAATGATAAATCATATGTGTGTATATATATAATACGTATATTATTTACATATATATAACTTGAGAGTTACACTCCCGTGCGAATGACTTGTCCAGGAGAGAAGTGCGAATGCATCTCATCTGTCCACGTGTCCAGATCTAATGGATGGGAAACACTGATTTTTTTTAAAAAACGCGATGACATTTTTGTAAATAATTAAACATCGAAGTGCAAGTAAAATGTATTACAAGTGCATGTAAAATATATTATAGGTGCAAGTAAAAATTTACACTGAGCATCAATACTAAGTGCACATATAGTTATAACTTGTTGCACCTATAGTTATAATTAGTTGCACCAATAGTTATAAGTAGTTGCACCTAGGTGCATGAATGTTTGCGGGTGATTTTCAGGGGTATTACTACCCTCTGAACTCAGATCATCAATGAATGTTAATAGTTATAAGTAGTTGCACCTAGGTGCATGAATGTTTGCGGGTGGTTTTCAGGGGTATTACTACCCACTGAACTCAGATCAATGAATGTTAACAAGGCAAAATTACATGCACTTGCAGGCGAAAGTATGTGCACTTATAGGTGAAAGTAGGTGCACCCGATCAATGAATACAGGCAAAAACTACATGCACTTGCAGGCGAAAATATGTGCACTTATAGGTGAAAGCAAGTGCATCCGATCAATGAATGCTAACACGTGGCGCGTGCTGATTGGTTTACATTTCTCTCCTGGGCACTTATTCGTACCTGAGCGCGACCCTATAACTTGAACTATAATCAACAATTGTTACCATTGGAGCTTACACATTTTTCTCGTATCTTTAGTAACATATATAAAAATTGTTATCATTTCACAATTAGTCTATAATTTAAATTTTATATATATATATATATATATATATATATATATATATATATATATATATATATATATATAGTACTACAAAATCTATTGAGCAAACAAATTTATTTTAAAGACTGCGCCACATATCAGAACTATGGAGCATCACACAAAGTCATAAGTTGCATTGTACTCCAAAAAAAAAAAAAATTAAAAAAAAAAACATTTCTATGTTGCATCCAAACTGAAGCATCTGAATTCATTCCTAAATTTCTGGCGGACCAATTAGCCTATAGTTAAAGTTGTACTCCATGAAGACAACTTGTGCTTTTAGAGATGCACGAGGAAAGTCCAACAACTTCCTTGAGTTGATAAGAGCCAAGGCGTTGTGCCTATTACGTAATTCTTGAACAACAACTTTGTCTAGTGCAACTGATTTTGAGAGCAGTGCTTTCAAGAAAAGCATTTCATGTCTGGATCCTTTAAACCATTCAATCTTTACCGTATTAAGCGTCTTCAAATTCTTATTTATAATGTCCAGATAGTCAAAGAAATTTGATGGACCTTCTTTGTCATCGATCCATTCCTCCTGCAACTCAGCAAAAAATGAATCCAAAATTAAATCTAAAAAGAAAAAAGAAATCAAGACAGCCAAATATATAGCCTTGATTTCACTTCCTAAATATTAAAATATTCCAAAAGCCATTTCTCAACTTATGTGTCCTATGTCGATTGGATGAGCTGACACGAATAGTGGCATTTATAACCATTAGATTTCCCATAACGCTCAATTTTTGCATAGAAACATAAATGAGTTGTTGTTTCAGAATATATTCCATCGTCATTACAACCCTTGACCAGATTCATATATGTTCAGCATTGAGAATCTTCAGGTCAATAGAGTCATTATTGAGAGGAATGAAACCGTTAAACGAACAACGACCAGGAATGAGGATTTTTATTTAAGACTTCCATGGGATAAACCAGACTACATGAGTGATATTAACTGACATATTCTCATGGGTCTAGCAAGAAGTTAAATTTTCATTTTCTTGTGAATCTTAGAGAAACGGATAAGGTAGGTGGAGTTCCAGATGATCAACGCTCTCACTCATTTCAGGTATATAAGCTTTATCTCCATAATTGTCCAATTCTTCAACAGCGAGAGAGGGCACATGTAACTCATTTTCTGATGTTGACCGAATTTGGACATGAGAGAAATCTTCCAAACTCTGTGGATTCTTAGGAATAGGATACCCACAAAAGATGTGCGGTGATTCTTGGTGTGAATGATTGCTGGATCTTTTGAGAATCATAATCCTTTCGTTTGCAAATTTCCGATCTTGTTCCAAGTAATACTCTTTCTTTGTCTGAGAATCTGCAAACATTTCCTTTCGGCTTCCTGTATCCGGTAGAGAGTGTGTAATTTCCACCTAATCATGATGCTCTCGTATTTTGGTGACTATTCCCATTGTCATCTTTCTGGCTTCTTTTAAGTATCGTTCTCGTCAGACAGCACATCGTTCAACTTGATCATCTACCTTACCCTTTCCTTTGTCTTGATTCATACATGCAATCAAGAAAACTAGAGCAACTGGAAAAAGGATTAGTAGGTTAGTGTGAATTTTTCTTTTGAGCTAGGCATCTTTTTATAAGGATAGAATAACACTTGGTTGCGTGTAGATATTTCCATAATATCTTTATTTCATGAACAAAATCCCCTATTTGGAATCTTTCAGGAATCTTGCAGATTGATTCCACACGACAAGCATGCTTGTCAGATCCTTTCAATCATACCAACTTCGTGTCGGAGTGTTGCAAACCCACTCTCACAAAGTGGTTTAGTAAGAATATCTGCTAGCTGATCATCTGTATTGACATATTCGAGTGATATGTCTTTCTTTTCAACATGATCTCGAATGAAGTGATATTTGATATCAATATGTTTCGTTCGAGAATGTAAAACGGGATTATGCGTGATAGCAATGGCACTTGTGTTGTCACATTTTATGCACACTTCTCGTGCTATCACACCATAATCTCTCAATTGATGTGTCATCCATAGAATTTGAGCACAACAGCTTCCAGCCGCAATGTACTCGACTTCAGATGTGCTAGCTGCTAATGAATTTTGTTTCTTGCTGAACCATGACACGAGTCTTCCCGCTAAGAACTGCCAGGTTCCTAAGGTACTTTTTCAGTCAATTCTACAACCAGCGAAATCAGCATCAGAGTACCCAACTAGATCAAAAGATCCTCCTTTCGGGTACCAAAGTCCAACACTTTGAGTTCCATTGAGGTATCTTAGAATCTTTTAGGCAGCACTCAAATGGCTTTCCTTAGGTTTGGATTGAAATCTTGCGCATATCCCAACAGCGAAAGAAATGTCGGGTCTACTCGCTGTTAGGTAAAGGACGGATCCGATTATCCCATGATATTTCGTTTGGTCCACATCTTGTCCCTCATTGTCAATTTCCATTCGTAAAGATGTGCTCATGGGAATTTTAACAGAAGTTTTTCCATCAATACCAAACGTTTGGATCAAATCTTTCGTATACTTGGCCTGATTGATGAATATTCCATCAGGACATTGTTTGACTTGTAATTCAAGAAAATAATTCAGTTCTCCCATCATGCTCATTTCAAATTTTCCTTGCATGAGATTGGAGAACTTTTCTCATAGATCAGGATTTGTGCAACAAAATATAATGTCATCAACGTATATTTGCACAAGCAAAACATGATCATCATCTTTGATATGAAAGAGTGTTTTATCAACAACTGCTTTCGTGAATCCACAATTGATAAGAAAATATGACAAGGTATCGTACCAAGCTTGTGGAGCTTGTTTCAGCCCGTATAGAGCTTTCTTAAGGTGATAGAATTTTTCATTTCCACAGTCTATGGTGAAACCTGGTGGTTGTTCCACATAGACTTCTTCCTCAAGAAGGCCATTTAAGAATGCACTCTTTACGTCCATATGATATAATTTGAAATCTTTGTACGCTACATAGGCTAAGAACATTCGTATAGCTTCAAGTCTAGCAACTGGAGCAAAGGTTTCATCAAAATTAATACCGTCTTCTTGGCAATAGCCTTTTGTCACAAGATGAGCTTTGTTCCTGACAATTAAGCCATCCTCACTCATTTTGTTTCTGAAAACCCATTTGGTTCCAATTACATTCTGATGAGTGGGTCTAGGAACAAGTTCCCAGACATTGTTTGGTTCAAATTGGTGAAGCTCTTCTTGCATAGCTATGACCTAATCTGGGTCACTCAGAGCATCTTCGATAGATTTTGGCTCCATTTGTGATAAGAAGCATGCCATCATGCTTTCATGCATGGAGGCACGAGTTCTCACACCTTCTTGAATGTTTCCGATAACTTGATCAGGTGGATGATCTCTTAACCACCTTAGATATGGTTCAAAAAATGTTTGATGATTTTGTGCATCCATTTCAGGAATATAAGGCAGCTCAACATAGATCATTGGTTCAGATTGAGATTGAGCAATAGGAACGACTTCTTGCAAGGTTAAATCATTCTGAGCTGTGACTTCGGGTTCTCTTGTTCTGGGTTGATATCTCTCGTAAGATGAAGTAAGATCCTCATGATCTGAACTATCTTCTTCTCCATTTCTTGAATCCGTATGTATGCTAGGATTCCTTATGTTGGATGATTCGTTATCAACCGGGACTTTCTCAGCTTGCTAATCAAACTTGACATGAATAGATTCTTCTATATCCATAGTTCTTTTGTTTAAAACTCTGAAGACTTTGCTTACTGAGGAGTATCCCATGAATATCCCTTCATCAGCTCTTTCATCAAAAGCTTTTAAATGATTCTTCCCATTGTTGTGAATGAAGCACTTGCAGCCAAAGATTTGAAAATAACTGACAACAGGTTTCTTACCTTTCCACAACTCGTATGGGGTCAGATTGTGAGCTTTGTTGATTAGAGACCGATTTTGAGTATAGCATGCAATGTTGATAGTTTCGGCCCAAAATCGTTTAGGAAGCCCTGAGTGTGCGATCATAGTTCGTGCGGCTTCCTTCAAGGTTCTGTTTCTTCTTTCGGCCACTCCGTTTTGTTGAGGAGTGCGTGCAGCCAAAATTTGATCAAATATGCCACTTTATCCGCAGAACTCCTTGATTACTTTGTTTACGAATTCTGTTCACTGATATGATCTTATTCTTATAATGTTGATTTCTTTCTCAGTCTGCAGTCGTCTTAAGAGATCAGGTAGCACGACCCCAGTCTCATTCTTCTTCTTTAGGAAGAGTGTCCAAGTATACCTCGAATAGTCATCTACTACAATGAGAGAGTACTTTCGTCCACTTAGACTTGCAGGTTCGACCAGTCCAAATAGATCCATTTGTAAGAGACTTAGCGGTCGAGAGTTCGTGTCTGAGATTTTTGACTTGAATGAAGTCTTAATTTGTTTTCCTTTCTGACATGCTTCACATATTTTATCATTGAGATAGGTAGCTTTTGGTAAGCCTTCCACGAGATCTTTCTTGGCTAGTTTGTTAATGGCCTTTAGATTCAGATGACTCATCTTGTTGTGTCATTCCCAGCTTAGATCTGCATTACTTTTTGCGACAAGACAAACATTAGTGTTAGATAAATTCCAAGAGATAACGTATATGTTTTTCTTTCGCTTTGCTGTGAGAACGACGTCACTATCTCTCGTGCTGATCACTTTACACACATCTTTTGAGAATTCAACATTGTATCCCTTGTCACAGAATTGACTCGTGCTTAGTAGATTGAACTTTAATCCTTCGACATACGAGACATCTTGAGTTGTTATTCCATTTTTGATGATGTCTCCTGTTCCACGAGTTTTTCCACTTGTTTCTCCTCCAAAGATTACTTTTGGTCCATCAATCTCTTTATAGTTGCTCAAAATTGTCTTATCTTTGGTCATATGTCTTGAGAATCCACTGTCGACATACCATATGACTTATTTTTCCTGTAAAATAGTTATGCAGTTTTAGGTACCCCTTCAGTTTCGGGTCCTTGAAGGTTAGTTGTCAATTTCGGGATCCATATGAACCTAGAGTTAACACAACTCATCCTTGGTCCTTTGTATCCATTAAAAACTTGATAATCATAATAGATTTTGGCAAAATTTTTGGCTTTGTATCGACTTTGAAAATAGTTACCAGGTGGATTGCGATACTGCTTAAAATAATTAGTTTGTTTATGCCGATGTATCTTCTCAAATTGCACTTTAGACAAGGGTTCAGGATAAACAACCCAATCCTCTTCGGATGGTCCACTCCATCCGTTGCCTGTCATTGGTCTTCTAAGTGACCTCTTGGCATGTCCATTTCGTTCTTCTTTCAGATTTCCTCGCCGAGGTTCCTTTCTTGGATACTTAGAACGATTTTGCCTCTAATTCACATTCGGTTTCACCCTTGTTTGGTTATCGATCTCTTGTAGGCTGACCTTTTTGATGGTATAAACTAGGTCTATTACCTTTCGGTCCATTCCTTTTGACATTATCATTATGCATAGGATTGCCTTTCAAGGGATTCTCATTTCGGGGTTCCACAATTCGTTGTTAAGCCTTTTCTTTCGGTTGGCTTGTTGATTGTGGTTGAACATGATTGTTAATCTTGGTCATTGACTCAGACATTTGGGTTGGACCTTGAACAAACACAGACTTGAAGCATTCGTGTGAATATTTGTCTGTGGATTTGTTCAAAAGAATATGTGAAGGGGAGCTGAGGTCATAACCAATTCCGGTTCTTTCCCCTGGCGGTTTTGATCCATTCACCAATCGATCCATTAGGTTGGATGAATTGTTAAACCAATCAAGAACCTCACGCAATTGTTACTCCCGCAACTCTCTTTCTGTACACTTCTCTTTAAGAAGAAGAACTTGCTTTTCGAGCTAATCTTTTGCAATAGTTGAGAGTTCTCTTCCTTTAATTTAGAGTATGTGTTTTTAATTACTTTGAAATCCATCATCATCTCAAAGATAGTTTCATTTGGATTTCTTTCACTATCCGAACTAGGTTCTATTTGATTTGACGAGGAGGTTTGAGAATTTACCTCGCCATCATCAGTCATTAAGCATAGATCATTTGTTCCTTCTTCCTGACTGAATAAGCATAGCAGTCCTTTTTCATCTCCAGAACATTCGTCTTCAGAGCTTGAAGTTGAAGAGCTGCTTTGGCGGATTCGTTCACCACCATAGCTCTTCTTCTTCTCTTGTGTCGAGGTTGGTTTTGTTCCTGTTGATCACTTCTTTTACTGTTCTTAGCAGCATCTTTTGATGTACTGGTGCTGAGTTCTTGATCCTGATATTTGTGAACCATTGGATGAGGACAATTTGCTTTGAAGTGCCCTGGTTTTCGACAGTTGTTACACAGCATTTGTCCATCCATTGACTCTTGTTTAGAGGTTTGAGGTGATTTCTCGTATTGCCTTTGGTTTGAGGAGTTCTGAAACTTTTGTTGCTCTTGGAAATTGTTCTTCCTCATAAACCGCTTCATTCTACGTACAAACACGACAAATTGTTCGTCAGATAAGAATTCATTAGGAATAGAATTTGACCTGTTAGAAGTTGAAGGTTGCTGGCTTGCAACTAGAGCAATGTTTCTGGTTTCTGTGTTCTCTAATTCTTTCGGCTCATGCTCAAACTCGTACGCCTTGAGATCACTGAAGATCTTTGTCGAGGAGATGGTTTTCATATCTCGGTGATCTGTCATTGCCGTCACTTTCATTTCCCATGACTTGCGAAGTCCTCGAAGGATCTTTAGGTTCTTTTCTTTTTTTGACGATTCCTTCCTGAGATCAAAAATTTCTCCCATCAGTTTGGTGAATCTGAACTCCATATCTGTGATGGTTTCGGCTGACAGCATCTTGAAGTCCTCGAACTTTTTCATGGCCACAGTAAGTTTGTTGTCTTTCTCCTGCTCGTCTCCTCACTAGTACAGAAACAGTCATTCGCGTCCAAAGTAAAGCATAATTCGCATCCAAAGTAGCTGGGACGCAGATGTCGGGGACACTGATTGTATATACAATCAGCTTTGGACGCGAAAAATGATAAATCGTGTCCAAAGTTGAAGAACTTTGGACGCAATTTATCTGATTACAATGTTGACTACTGACTTTGCGCGTCCAAAGTTGGTCAACTTTGGACGTGCAAAGTCAGTAAATCACGTCCAAAGTTCTTCGACTTTGGACGCGATTTATCATTTTCTTTTAATAATTCGCGTCCAAAGTTGAAGAACTTTGGACGCGAATTATAGTTTTTTTTTTAATTTGTTAATAAATCCATTTTTTTTCCTGTACAAAAAAATATTATTTTCATCCTGTACATGCAGTCACAACCACTACCACTTCAAAGCTTTCAACTAAAGTTCAATACATCATTACGCCAACACTTTAGCACTAAGTTAAACTTCAATACATTCAATTCACAACACTTCAAAATTTTCAATACATCATTGCCAACACTTTAGCACGTACTAAATTAAACTTCAATACATTAAATTCACAACACTTCAAAGTTTTCAACACATTTATACTACACTACTTCAACACATATGTAATAAGCTAGATAAGTACCAACAATACATCATTACAATTAACTAATATAATTAAATCATAGTTCAAAAATTGATATACATTCTTGAGTAAAATATTTAGACCAAACCTCACGAATCTCATCAATTTGCGCTTCTGAATAAGGCTTTCTATTAAATAATAATTCCTACAAAAATTTAAAATTATCAAATAATTAGTTTTAACATTACTAAAGTGTAATTTAAAACTATTTACTTTTAATAAATTTTACATACCATATCTAAATCATCAGAATCCCACATTGAGTGCATATTTCATACATGAATCTCCTTAGCCGTTTTGCACTTTCGTACTTTCGGGAATAAGGAGTCATCTAGAGACTTGTAGAGAATGTCTCGTGCAACGTTGTCGAGGTTTGCCCTAGTCTTCTCATCTGAAGTAAGTTGCGATTTTGGCTTTGGTATTATGGCTTCTGCATCTGCTCCTTGTGCAGCTGCCTGAGTATTTACCATCATAACGACAATAGGGCCTTCACTTATCACGTCCAACATTTCATCATGAATGGCCAAAATATGTGCCTGCATTCTTACTTTCCAGTCATCAAACTTTGAGAGATTAAAGGCAAGAGGCCTAGAACGGTTAGAATGCTCTCTTTCCATTTCTTTTAGAAAATTTGTGCAAAGATTTTTTTTTTTTTTACTTATGCAAATTTTTGTAAAAATGGATCTACCAGGCAGTAAAGCAAGAACGTTTACCATACAGGGCAACTGCTCTGATACCACTTGTTGGTCCCGGTAGGGTCGAAACTAGAGTATAGAGAGGGGGGGGG